GATGATCTGGAGTTGACTGCACTTGTGCCGGACTGACAGGCACTATCACAATTAAAACCTGGTTAGATAATCAGAGCTAAGCCTCGATCCTAGAGAGCTAAAACTTCAATCCTATTAAAAAGACACCTCAGTATGGAACATGTGTACAGTTCTCACGCACACAAGCAAGAGAAAGTTTGGGACAGGAAGGCAGAGAGACTGCAGAGATGCCAGATCTCCAGGACAGTAGGAATCAGCTGGCATGGCAAGTTAAGGCATAAACATCACATCAAGAGAGCTAAATTGCAGATGTAGCTACAGCATGATTTTTGTAATAATTCTTAACTAAACTGATAGATCTAAAGAAAATTACTCCTTCCCTCTCCGGTCTCCCATACGAACAGCCTGTTTCCCATTTGTGTTTGGCTGCCAGGGGAAGTATTTGGGCCTGCAGTCACATTTTGTTTGCTCAGGAGGGGAATTCTGACACCCAAGACAACAATTAGTTGAACTGGAAGAGCAGTGCTCACATGGAAGTGATTCACAACTTTATTCTGCTAAAGCACAAAGTTATTACAATTGAATTTATTATGAGACTCAGTATTTCAAAACTAATCAATGTCAAGGCTTTTAGAAAGAAATTGCAGAACTGTAAACCATTACATGAAGCAAGCAGGTCATTGTTTGCTGCAGACTGAACGAGGATCAAGTTCACATCACCATTCTGAATCTCGTCCACAGGCCTACTCAGCCTGTTCTGCTTTACAGGAAAAATCCTATACAATACCTTGAAATTATAGCTTAAACCAAAAAGTCCAACCAGCTTCATTAGGGTATGCACTAAATGTATTTTAAGTCATCTCACACCTGATGTAGAATAGCTCCGTTCAGATCAGCCCTTATTCCTACTTGTGCCTGATGTTTCAGGTAGACTGACCAAAAACATCCAAAAGTGTGAATTAAATAAAAACTTAAAGATTTGAAGTATGAAAGTATGAAAAATGAAAGACATCTTCACTTCACTGTCAGTGGTTACTTCCTCCAGTTAAGATGTCAGGCTGTAAGCTAATGCTGTCCCATATCACAACCCTAAAATGCAAATTTCATTTGGGAAGAAAAACCAGTAACACCAACAGTAACAACAAAGGAGATGATAATATAGGCAAGAAAATACACGTGAAAATAATTTTTGCTACAAGATCTTTTATTTTTTCAGTTAGTTTAAGCAATATCTCAAATGATATCCCTATACTTAGACGCAAGAAACACCCTTAATAACAAAAGCAAGTGAACACCAACACATTGTTTAAGAAATAAGACTCTTTAGCTGCTACATTATTTCACCGGGGGAGAAATTCCAACCTGAAACCCTAATTGTGTGACCACCTAAAAAGAAATGTTTTCCTTCAGTTATATATGGTATCAAACCTCAACTCTTGAACTTATACCCCTAAAGAATGCCTATGTATTAAAGTGAAATTGCATCAGGTGTGCCTTGTTATTCTAGAGGGGTATTCTAAAGATCCATGCTTTCTTCATAAACATATTAAAAAATGCAGAAAAAAAAACAAGTCATTGGTTTGTTAATGATGTTTCTTAATGCAGTGCTACAAAGCCTCTACATGCTGTGCTGAGAATTAACATAACTATCACTAAACACATTCAGCAACTTGGCCATGTTGCCAGGAAACTGCTGCCAGCAGCAGCCTCCTAGATCAGGGAAGATTCCCGATAGTCCCCCCCACCAGTACAACAAACATCTTTTTTTTCCTCTTAAGATCACCGCTGATCCACATACCTAAAATGATCATTTCCTTATAAGTAACGTTCTAGAAGAGAAGTAGCCAAGTCGGTTGTTCGTCAAGGGCAGCAGCTTAATGGTGTTTTCTATTTCAGACTGCAGGTCAATTCACAATTTGTTTAGTTGGTGCATCTAATACATTACGCTGAATGTCAGCCAAAAAGCTCTCTCCCATTTCTTTGGGGTATAGCTTCTAAGGGACAGAGGAAATAGCGTAAAAATACAAAATCCTTTCTTTTAAGAAAGTCAAGGCATGGTCAAAGAAGAAACCAGAATTAGTTTTAAGAAACCAGAATTAGTTTTGACAGCACTGAAAGACAAACCAGCACTCTCTTGCCATGACTTCTTTAAAATTAAGGATCACTTCTGGCAGGGATATTTTGAAAGCTAGCCCCATTTACACACTATCAACTTCTAGAGAGATGAGGATCAGCCAGGGATTAAATTGTTGTTATTTTGTGTTTGGTTTTGGTGTGGGGTGTTGTTTTTTTTTTTGTGGTGGTGTTTTTTTCCTTTCTTTTTGAAGAAAATCATTGAGAGAACTGAGCATTGTTTGAATGACACTTGTGGATTCCTCTTTTTTTCCTTCCACACCTAAAAGCAACTACCAAATAAACAAAAAAAAGTCAGGGTCTTCAACATCACGAGTTTCTTAACGATGACATCTAGATGCATTATCTCATTCCCTGCTGATGTCACTGCCATTACTAACAAGGATGCATCTGGACCAGGAAATAAGTGGAATATGGTGATTTGCAGTTGCTTTTATATATAATCTCACATACTAAGTAAGTAGCACAATCACTGCTTTTTATATTTTTGAATGTAAACCGGGTACTTAGTGTCACTCTTACTCAGACACGACAGGACAGAATATATTTGAAAATATGCTGAAATGGACATGTGGAATTTTTAAAAAAGCGTTAAGTAGAACACCTTTGATAGCTTGGCAAATTATATTTAAAAAAAGTCAGACACCACCTCGTGGGTGACTGTCTGGGTCAGGTAACATCCTTAGCAAGATAACAATTGCTCAAAAGATTTTTCTCTTCTACAAAGCCTGTTCTTCTCCAATCCTCCATTCTCTAGTCACAGCACCAGGAAGCTCCAGCCCCGTTTGACACTTTGCTCAGGTTATACAGCTGGGTAGAAAACCTGCAGCGTTCTAGAAAAACTTGATCTCTTCTCCCAGGCAAAGATCTGACCCCAGCAATCCAAAGAGGTATAACCATAACAGGGCATGATAAATTGCTAGATCTGAAGCTGAACATGAAAACAACAAAAGCCCTAACTTACGTTAGATGCAACTGTTCACCTCTTCCACAACTCCGGTTTTGTGCTTCAGTCTTCCAATAGCACACTGGTGACTTGATCAAAATTGAAAATCTATCAGGTACTTTTGAAAGAACACTTCAATTTCTGAGTCAACAGTATCAGTCTTGGGTGGCATGAAGCACACAAAGACACTGTGGAAGAGATATAGCTTTGGACAGAGCTTTCAGTAATGAATCCCCCCATTCAAGCCATTTTCTGGTGCAAACCCAAATTTCTGCTTGACAAATTGTACTACCATAACAAAAACTACATGTGCGAATCCAGATGCTACCTACTGCTTATGCCAAAAACACAATCCTCAGGTGAGCTTTATATAACCTAAAAATCTTTCCTTTTTTTAAGGGCTAATGCCCCAGAGGGATCCAAATGCAAGCTGCTGATTTCAGAAGATGTCCCACAAAGCACTGAGTATTCTGTACTAAAAACAGTGTTACGCTTCCCTTGCTTATTATATTAATCTCTCCAAGGGTGCTCCTATCTCAATAAATTATGAGTTCCACGAGCAAAGCATGCGTAACTCAGTATCTCCCATCAGCAGAAGAAGGGGAGGAGCTGAGACTGAAAATAGACAGTAATTGAAAACAAGTCATAAATGGCTCAGTTCAACTGCAAAATGATCCTCTAAAAAAAATAAGCTGCAATTTGTTTCATTAGATTTATCAGTGAGTAAAGAAGTAACTTTCAAAACAATATTCTTAAATGTCACTTGTCTTAAGAAGACATGAAGAATTGCAGTTGACTTATATCAAAAAGAAATGACACAACCTCCTAGTAAGAAACAAATATAATTAATTTAAACATTGAGAGTACTGGACATTGTAACAGAATTTGAAATTACTGTCTACGGACAAACCTGGAAGAGTACCAAAGTAACACGTAATATTGTAAGAAATCTAGTTTAGCCCAGGATCTTTTGAACTGTAGTCAACTCAAGATACTACGAAAGAACTGCAAAACCATACAGCTTTATTGATCTCCCCAGCCATTACACATTTTGTTAAAGGCAATATATTTTAATTTAAGCCATTCCAATTGCCAAAGAGCATTCACTTGTCGTAAAGGGTTTCTTCAGCTCTCTCAAAAACGTCTTTCCAGTTCTCCAGGTCTCATGTGCTCCAGGTGCCCAACAGTCTGTGAAGTCTCAGTGTGCAGTGTTTTCCTGGTGGGCAGCACTGGGGTGGGCAGCACTGGTATCCAGAAGCAGACAGCAGAAGCTGGAGACGTTTGGCATGGTGAGAGACTGTCAGTGCATCAGATGCCTGATACGTAGCTATGAGCCTCCTCAAAGAGTCGATGCTTCAGAACTGCCCTTTACCAAGTAAATGCCACAAAAGCACAAATCAACAGGCTGGTGCAGGATGACATGGGCAAGTTTTGCCCACAATCACTTAACAGAAAAAGGGGGCAGAAAGCAATACAGAGCTCTTCCACTCAGAGAATAATCAGCTGTGCCCAGAGGTGTACAAGAGCACTCAGCAACATGGAAGAACAAGTAGCAAGCAAATCTTGTGGTCATAATGTCTCCTATCTGTCTCAAACCAGCATAAAAAACAAGCAGCTCTTTCTATCACCAAGAAGATAGGTATGTATGCTGACAGAGTGTTAATGGGTTTTACAACTGAGAAGGAGATTACATGCTTGCCACAGTCCACTGTCTGTCTCCAAAGTACCTCAGAGAAGCAAAAGCACAGAGCAATATGTAAACATTTTTTTCTAGTTTTCAGTGTGCGCTTTTGCACAAGCCAGCATTTAAACAACTATTTCAAGCAAATAGGGTACCATAAAGAGAAAGCACAGTGAGTTATTAATACAAGCATCCACTGTCCCTCGTGGTTTGCATCTAATCTATGTCAAGTCTCAGATACAACAGAAATGGCCTGCTTACCTCTGTATTTGGCTGTAGTGTCTGTTCATCTTGGGTTGCAGATGGTACTATTGCCCACGTAATGTTGGCACTAGCAGATGATAAGGAGCTGAGGGCACCATTTTTCAGTTGCTCTGTAGAATGTGACTTGGGCCCAGGCCATCCCAGGATACCTTCTGAAGCAGAAAACAGATGTTAACTTACAAGAAGCAGATACAAGAAGCAGATTAAAGTGTTTTTTTTCCATTCCTCTCATCATTTGTTCATATTAATGAACCTGTTTTCTGTTCCTATGTTCAGCTTTACTTCAGTAACAAAAATACTCCAGCATCTTCCATGCCAATTTATCTTTTTTTTTTTTTTTTAAGTCAATGAAGGTTTTACATTATTCCTACCAGATAGAATTATAAAGATTATACAAACTGACACACCTTGTTGATTAAAAAATGCAAGTGCACTTTACCTCAGTGTTTGAATAGTTAAGAAGTTATCCAAGTCAACATTCCTGTATCCAATACAGCGAAGATATTTACCGTATCTTATAAACATAGATTGGTACCAGAAGAAAGGTGTCTAACCATTTAGTTTTTGCATCAGACCCCAGTCCAAGGACTAGTTCAGGTAATATCCTGTCCACTCCTCCCATTTATTCTGCCTGAAACCAGAGTTTCAGAAATAAAGTACAGCTGCTAAGTGAATTTACTAGAACTAAAGCCCTTCCTAGATTAAGTGCTCAAATGTTTTACCTCTACTAAGACCGTAGTTTAGAAGAGTTCTCATTAGGAAGATACACATTAAATTTGAATGAAACAGAACTAGATATCAGAAAAACCTCTATTGCTAGGGACATCTGATTCCCAGGACAGGCCAGTATTTAGGGAAGATAACACAGAAAAAAACGATCAGCTAGGAAGGCACAGTTCCTCCCTCACTGCTCTAAACACAGTATCACCCTTCAAATCAGTAGCCCTCAGCATAGGGCTTAAATTTCAGCTATTAATTACATGCTGTTATAAAATACAGAGATATGGATAAGAAAATTGCAGCTTTTCAGTCATTACCATGATATGTATATGAAAACACAATTAGTGCCACCAGGAGAATCTCTTTCTCTCATCACTGCCAACGTTTTGAGATGATCCCAATGAACACTATTTACATTAAAGAACATGCAATTTCTCTTTCTTTATCACCAGTGGTTAATTGTAAGATCCTAGAGGTTGCCTCTAATTAAGATAAATGGTTTGATCCGGTGAGATGATGCTGTGTACTGTTATGTTCTCTTAACATTTGTATTATTAAAAATAGGTCACAAATCCTATAGCTGAAACCTTACTAAATTCCAAAGATAAAATAATTACAGGACATTCCTCTCAGCTAAAATGGCAGTAAATTTTGATGGCATGATAAAGCTTCAGGTCTGCTTGCTTAGCATGATTGTGTGGCACCAACTTGTGAATAAACTTTAAGCAAATAATGTAAAATGATTTTCAAAGACCGGAGAAAATGGAGAAAAAACATCTTTTTATAATATTTATTTCACATAATGACTTAAGTTTCCCACTGACAAAAGAACATCTTTGTGTCTCTCATATTAGGCCTTTATTTTATATACTGCAAAGGCTTTGGGGTTATAGTAACTTTGAGGACTATGGCAGTAGATGTTTTTAAGTCCGGACTGAGTTGTGCAAACCACGAGAGAGAAAATAGTCTCTTTGTTTGACTTGCCCTACACATCGCTCTTACAGATCATGAAGCCAACATCTTATCCCATTCCAAAAATGGAATTAAATCTACACACCATAACAGTATACGTGGCAAGACATGAAGAGTTCAGTGACTACTCATAGTTGCTCTTTAGGTCTTGAACAATTATAAAATTTAAAAAAAAAAAAAAAAAAAAAAAAGGATAACCACAGATCCCTCAAAACAAGGTCTGATTCAGAGGATAATCTGAAGATACTTCTGGCAGATCCAAAATGGACCGTCACTCTGCATGGGAGGAAGGAAGCATACCTTCAGCATTTAGGGATAAAACTAAGTTAGAAAGCTTCAAATAAAGAAGTTTGTTCCTTGGAGGGAATTCACAAGGCTGTACATTGCTAAACTTGTTTCTTTTATTTCTGTCTTTCTGGTGTTAATTCATACAGATTTCAGAGAGAGAACAAAAAATAAAATCAAGAAAATAAACTTGTTTCACTTCAGCAAAGAGTTTTATGGAGCATACCTATGCTTCTCATTCTTCATTACTTTGCAGTAAGTAATCTTGGTCTATTTTTCTGTTTCTCCCTGTCAAACAGCTGAAAAGTGAATTATTATCGTTATTTTCCTGTTACAGAAAAACTAAAAAAAATTGAACTGACTGCTCTTTATGCAACTCTTTGAAAATACATCATCCACTCATTTCCTTGGGCTATCTGTTTTCTCTCTTCGTACACAATCTGTTTGGCCTTTACTTTTAATTAATATATTTTTTTTAATAAATTCATTTCTGTAAATAGCCACAAGTGAAAGCCATTTGAATAAACACCTTGCTTCAGGGGAAATTTGCAAGCAGTGAACATTTACTTAGCCATCATTTACATATTTTTTTAAAAACACTGTATCAGTTTTGCTCTTCAGTACAAACACACCTAGTAAAAAGGTGATTTACTCCTTCATCTTTCTCCCCACATTTTAAACCCTCTCACAGAACTAGAATCTGTTAGAAGTATGCAAGCATGTTTTTCCATCTGTCCCAGGGGCAGCGCTATCTCTTGCAGAAGAGTATACCTTGTCAGCTTAATCAGTTTTTTTAAGCAGATCTTAACTATACCTTAGGATCTAGCCAACACCAAAAGGATGCTAAGATTTAAGGTCCAAAGGTAAAAGCACGTCTGCTTCTCAAACACCTCTTCACGTGAGAAAAATCATTGTGTTCGAGTCTGCCTGCCTGGAACTGGACTACTTTGCAGATCAGACGTATGCAGTAAAATGCAGTCATATACCACAGAAAGCTAAATTAAAAGTCAGCTCTCTGAGCAAGTTGAAAAAATTCCAGGCCCAGTTCCTAAGTGCCATCAGGGAATATCTGACAATCTTTAATCTGCAAATCTGCTCTGAGGCATCAGGATTCTTGTTTCATCCCAAGGGAGTTGCCATATACCCGATATAGTCCCCTACTTCCCAGACAAAAGCAAAGTGTGAAGAGAGAATTCATTAGAAATAATCTTCAAATCAAGTTAAGATCAGAATAAAACCTCTATACAGAGAAAGAGGACACAAAAACATAACTCCTACTCTACTCACGTATCAGTCGTATGCCAGAAACAGTCTCGTGTGTGCTAGTAGAAATTACATTTGCCACAAAACAGTATAAGTAGTTATCTATTTATTGAATCAAATTATTTTATTGGAATTTATCCTCCTTTCCCCAGCCTAAGCAGATATCTGTAAATAACATGATCCACCCTAGCAGAATTGCCATCTTCACTGCCTTATGGTGTACTAGATTTTCTATCACGAGTTCATTACCTTTCTTCTAAAGACTTCATGAAAAAATGAAAGAAAAAATATAGTATGAGAAAGAAAGTTTAATCTTCAATGTTCATTAAGAACGGGAAGAAAATGCTGTCACTGTCTGTTTTTAAGAAAGATTTTTGTTCTATTCTCAGTCCTAGCCTAAGACAGCAGACAGAAAGGTAAATTCAATTCTTATTTGATGCATTTCATCATTCTAAAGAAGTTCTCCAGGAAGACATTCACATATGCTACTTTATTATTTGCTTTATGATTATAAAAGGCAGCTCACCAATTAAAACAAAACATCTGTTTCTGTATGCAGAAATTGGAAAGGATGTACCAAATACACTATTAGTAAAATCAACCAGATCTCTGCCACCTGTATGGTGCTGGTTATATGCTTCCAGGGGAGACAAACCAGGCCTAATTTCCCTGGAAGTTCAGTGGATATGTACACACAAACCTGCAGCTCTCATAGAAAGTACCCCAAAATGAGCTTTCTTCCAGCCCCTCGACACCAATTTCCACTACAATGACCAGGCAGCAGATAAACCCCAACAAGACAGGGAACACATCTACACAAGCACAGCACCCAGCCACAGCCTGCTCTCCTTTCCCTATGGCAATGCTACAGCTCACAAAAACCATCCATTTCAGATGGCACACAGAGAGCATCCTCCCCAAGTGCCCTCAGGAGAAATGGGTTTCCCCTTCACAGTTGCACACAGCAGAAGGGAGGGAAATTATCCCCAAAGAGGAGGTTTGGAGTGGATTTTTTCAGTTAAGCAGCGTGGATCATTTTCTTTCTTTGATTCAAGTTTCCTAGGTATCTGGTATACCTTCACACTACGTTTTCCTATAATTGATGCATGAAACATGCTTAACACCTACCTCAATTCTACAACAAAACTTTTCTATTTTTAAGTCCTCTTAAAAAAAAAAAAAAAAAAAAACATTTTTTCCCAGCACAATCGTAACCTAGCATTGATTGCTAAAACTCTTACAACATACTGTAACTACACTGTAACAAATATTCCCTTAACAATTCAACACTAGCCCTCCAGGAGAGACCAAAATTAGATGCGTATTCCTTCCATGGCCAGGGACAGATGCAACAGCTTTGTCGCTCTACTGAATCCTACAGGAGGCTCAACGAGCAACAGCAAGCTGCACATCTGTTTTTCGGATTAGAAGAACAATGTTGTATTTGCAAATGCTGGGCAAGGACTAGAAAATAATGCTATCTTTCAAAAAAAAAAAAAAAAAAAGAGGAGCATATAAGGAATCGTGTATTAGCATATACATAAAACAGCAAACTGTTTTGGTTGGTCTCAACAGAAGCAAATCTAGAGCTGATATATTTAAGGGGAACCTGACTACGTGGAATTCAGTAATTTATAATTACTATAATTGTAATTACTGTACAATTACACAGATAATAACTATTTTTTTCTCCCATCTTTCCTCATCCTTTCCTGCCCCCAGGCATTCAGGGGGCAGTTGGTGGTGGCAGGAATTGAGCAAGGAAGAGGATTCCCCTGCACAATTTTCTCTCCTCTTGCCATCTGTACTACAGAAGAATCCCTATTTGTCATTTGTCTCCAAATTAAAAGCATCTAGATTTTCTTTCCTGTAAATTTATTTGCTCAAAAGGAGGCACCAGAGAGCCTGGTAAAATAAAGTTCAAATACATCCCCCTCCCAGACTCCAGAATCATCTTCAATCCATTTCTTGCCGTGGAAGAAAAAAAAAATTAAAGCAGCATTTACACACCCAAATGAACATCAGAAAATACGTGGTGAGGATGATCATGTGTTTTTGTTGTTGTTGTCTTTTAAAGGTAAACTAAAAATAACTCCTCAAAGAAAAAAAAAAAATATTCTGTGACACACTTCAAAAAAGTGGTAAATGAAAATTAAAAATATATGAGGGAATTCCTGTCTGGGACATCGTTTATTCAGTAAATGAGTGTCTGATGTGAAACAGTTTAAATAAGGGATTTATCTGCACAGGCTGCTGACTGCAAGACAGGATTCTATTTGCCAAGGTATTAAAATAAAAAGCAGACCTAAAACACAGCATAAGGGGATAAATCAGCTTTAAAACAAATTACTTGAGTTTGCTGCATTCTCAGTTTGGGACAGTAGGAAGGAAGGATGTTAACCATAGCAGTCAACAGGCTTTAGAGACACTCCTCTGCCAAAGAAAAGATGTATGTTTCCTACACAAGGAAAAAAGTAACACCAAAAGTTTTGAAGTTTACATAGAGACAAGGTTTCTCTGCTGCATTTTTATTTAAAAAGCCACCTGCTTCCTGTCTGCATGCCAAATAAACCTGATCTTCTCGCAAGGCACACGAGCATTTGCTAATGTTGATTAGCAAATACTACATACTACACTGTTAGGTGACATCCTTGGCCAATTGGAAAATCCTTGAAATGCTTCTTTCTCCTACAAAAAAAAAAAAAAAAATCTCAAACCCCAATGAAACTCCTAAGAATAGGTGCAATCCCTCATTTTCACCTTACACTGTATGTAACCAATACTTCCAGCTAATAATACCCTTCTCCAGTACATTTTCAATTAAGGAAAAAAAAATTACAAAGCATTTAGCCAGAGATCAATGCATAGACTTTTAATGGAGACAGCTAGATATGAATATGACATTGTTTTACCCCAAAGTAGAAACACAGACAGAATTTTTGCTTCACTGGCTGTTCTTGTTGATGCACGTCCAAAATTGAGCACTAACAAAAAGAGAATCACAAAAAATCTTTCCTTGAATCTTTACTGTGGGAATAAAACATGTGTTGACTACCCTTCAAAAAAAGATTGAAGATTTCAGTTTAATCTTCATAACTGCTTGCAGACTTGAGGTATAAGACTGACAACTTGCGAGAAACACGAAGAGCTCAAAATCACTTCTTCCTTAAACTATTTCATGCCAAAACATGTCATAAAATATTTGAAGTCAAGACCCACACAATCCCAGATACTGGATCAGATCTATCTAATCACACTACTGGAAAACAAAACAATAAAAAAGTTACCTCAAAAGTAGCATTTTTTTTAATTTTTAAAAAGTTACAGTCTACAAATCTGTTTAAAATAGTAGCTATTTAGTAACTATCTTTGCGAGTGCATTCTCTAAGTATTATGTCAGAAACTCTCAGCTACTTTAAGTCCTTGCTGTCGAAGCATTCAGATGGCAAGGCCTACGGTGCACAGAGGAAAAGTTAACAATCCATGCACAACTGGCCATAATGACTTCAAGAACAGAAGCAGGGTAAAGCTACAGAGAAAGTAGATACTATCTACTCTTCTGGCAGTTCTTTGTATTTAGGACATAATAGCATGAGCATTTCATTCTGAAGGAAGGTGAAGTCAAAGGTAAGTTAAATTTAAGAAAGTTAAGTCATTGCTTATTTCTCACACTCTACAAGGGAGTGCTGCTCTGCTTTGTTGGACCACCTTCATGAACTGTAGGCTAGAGGTAAGTGTGCTGTCTAATTCCTACCTTGTCTGTCTGTGCAACAGTCTGAGGATCTTGTCCCCATTGCCTTTCCACCGGATTTATTCAACTAGAATCTTTGGATGCTATGTAGCAGGTAATGACGGCACTTGGATGCAAACATTTGGCGATATACTGAACATCATCCTGGAAAGATGTTTTAGACTTTCTATCAGATGAACATATGGCTTTTAACCTAACAAGTCATTTTCACCTGACCTTATCAAGAGGTGATAATAAAGGTCACCATTTGGTTGTTCCTTCTGGATATGCAATTAAAAAAAATTCACCTGGAGGACATAGAATCAAAATGAAATATATCATCTCACAGAGCTAGAGTTTGCTAGATTACTTAAAGGCATTAGTCTGATTAGGTACGAGTTTATTCAGCTTTGATGACTCTGAAACTCTACCGACTCAGCAGAAACGTTAAGTCCATCAAAGTACGCCTGAGCAAGATTAACTGGGTAGGAAAATCAGTAATCAAGACTTTCAGGCCAGGTTCTTTCAGGCAACTGTGTTGCATAACAAGTCCTGGGGAAAAGAAAAGGAAGAAAAAGTAGTAATTTCACAGATTTTTGAGGGAGAATAGTCTAAATATTTCAGCAGCTTTTAGTTCCCCCCTCTCTCCCTGTCTCCCTCTCTCTAAATTACATACCAAATAAGCACACCTACACACTGAAGAATTAACTGTTTGCATTCGGGTTCTCACAGTTACACTGAAGATGCTGATATGAACAAATGCTACAGAATTTCAGTTCCTGAAAGAATTCTCGTACAACTTTAAAGTCTAAAGGGAAAACAAACAAATAAGAATACTTATTAAATTTTATTAAGTACTTTATAATAGCAGCTTTCAACATTTTTAGGGGAGGGAGAAGGGATTAAAAAAGGGAACCCCTTTAAGGGAGTACTAGTGTTATATTTGTTTTTCCCTGCTATTGTGCACAGATCTGCAAAAATCATTATCAAGTCAAAACACAGCACTGATTTAACAGAAGATTACTTGGACAGAGATTCAAGGGCATGTACGACTAAAGTCATCTATCTCTGACAGTTCACTTAGATCACACGGACATGAAAAACAACCCCCAGGGACTTTGAAACTGGAAAGCGACTTTTCTTTGAAGGATGCTTTTCATCTTTGATCCAACCCATTCTCTTTTGAAATGACATTATATCAAAGAATTCAATTAAAGGCACTTTATCATTACTATTTAGATATGTGTAAGTTTTCGGCATTTTCTAAGTTAAAACCAGAATACAGAATTGTGTTGTTGTTGTTCATTTACTTTACTCTATGAACTATATCAGAATCTGCATTAGGGAAGTCACAATATGCCATAGTATAGGCATCAAAGTTTTTAACTGTTTTTTGGTTGTTGCTGGTTTTTTTGTTTGTTTGTTTGTTTTTTGTTAGTGGTACTAGTGGGTTTGTTGGTTGGTTGGTTGGTTGGTAGTTTTTTGTTTTGTTTTGTCTTCCTAAGGGCCTTTTAATGTCATTTCCCTACTTTTCAACTGACCCTTTCACATTTCTATTTTCCCCACAGTGGGAATTCATCAGAAGGATTCTTCTTACTCAGTTGTCTCAGCAGCCCTGAGGGCATATCCTGCCCCATAATAAACTTTCTGCAAATAAGAATGTTTTGTCTTTTTGATTTTCAGTACTTTTGTGTGTTTTTCTTCATGTTTTGTTCTTTAAGGGCCTACTTGAAGTTGGATTATGTTGTTGATTTACCTACAAAAAAACATAAAAAGCCACCCCATTTCCAGAAAAGCCACCCCATTTTTGCTGCTGCTGCTCCTCCTCCTCCTCTTATATCATGTCCTGATCCTGTGCTTAAACTAGGCAGTGCAGTTTGTCCCTGGGAAAACAATGACCATCCTTTCAGAAAGTCTGACTTCCTATATTACTGATAGAGTCCTACAACTTGTGTGAATTAAAAAAAATAGATCTGCATGAGGACTTGGGAGGTTCATGCCTGCAATGCAGAATCACACAGTTTTGACTTCTTAGGTTCATAAAAATTTGCCACCATTTTATTTTTATATTTATTTTTTTTTTAATAGTAACATGGAGATCTCTTCCCAGACTTAAATAAAAACACTGATTGGAATAAATCTACCTTAGCAGGATTAATCTTTCTATGTAAAAAACTCGAAATATGATTTTTCGCTGTAACATTGCATTTTTATCAAACACAACTGTATTGTGATTTCAATCTCTACATAAAAATACCAATCAGGTTCTGCCTGTCTTTAAGAGCACAGGCTTATCTATCTGTTCTCCATGCCACTTTTTTCCCCCTCCCTGTCTTACTGTCTTCAAAACCTCATTTCCCAATGAAGACTTAGGACAACATTTTTTTTCCCCACTTTTCCAATTTCAACATTTTGCAGCTTTTTTTAGGCTAAGAGAAAAATGCTAATACTTGATGCTGCAGAAGCTTACAGGCTGCTCAATCCAACTGCTCACTTCCTCTTTGAGGAAGGGTTCATTTTGTCTTCTTCAGTAGCATAACAAAAAACCCTAAGGCACGTAAAAAAAATACCCAAGAGCGCTTGTGCTCACCTGATGACAGTGTCCTGTTATGGTGCTGGCCCACTTGATGCATGCTTTGCTGTAACAGAGTCAGGCATTCTCCAAGGCAGCTCAGGGTGGCAGCAGAGGTAGCTTTTAAAAGCAGCAAGTCCTGATCCAAGGCAGAAAGGGGTCCAGAACTTGGGAGAGCTTCAATGGCTTGTACGAGATTCTTCTGTTGTCCCTCAACTTGACTCATCATCTGTAAAGGTGCAAAAACATCTGATGCCATAGGAAATATCACAACGTAGCTGTTAAATTCCTACAGGTTTATGTAGTAACTAAATGTAAAGAACAACAAATGAATGTTCATGTTATGATGCAAATATACCATAAATTTACCTACAAAAACAAAGGGCTTGAGACTACCAAAGACCTGTGAAAACGTCAAAACTATGTTAGAGAAAATAGTCTCTTTAAGTAGTAGGTTCATAATAGGTGTAATAGCGACTCATACTTTCTGGAATTATTTAAGCAAACATATGAAAATTCTACTTCCTTCTCCGTTACCAATTTAGACTTGAATTTTCTTTCCTAGGTACATGACCTGAGACACCCACGGAAGATACAGCATCCATCTTCTTCCTCTCCTACATGAAACATCTAGTCACAGTTTACAAACAACCATTTTTCATTTCTCAAGCATCAGTAAGGAATTATTTTGAAAAAATGAGGTGACTTGGAAGTTTACAGGCATTGCCATAGGATGCAACTTAGAATACTTATTTACTATCAGATATGAATACCAGCTGTCGGGGAGAAAGTTAATCTGTTTCTAGATTTGAACCAACCAGACAAAGATAAAATGCACGCTTGTAGAGCAGATAAAAACATTGTATGAGCAGGCTGTTCTTTAAATAAACTGGCAAGCTTCCAAAAATCCTTCCTATAACTAAAAGAAAAAGATGTTTAAAAAATCTGTTTTTACAGCTTTTCATAAATTATACATGCATAGGATGGGCCTCTCTCATACTTACCGTTCCTTAAGATAAGAAAACACCTTCATGTACCACACCACACTTGGGAGTGTCTTTGAAATAATCACGCCTGTAACTACAATCATACACATTTGAGACAAAACTCAAATTCATTCTGGACCTTTTCTTTAATGTACTGACTTACGTATATATACAGCTTATGTCTAAAGAGCCAGAGTTACGTATCTCATCTCAAAAATAATTTGAGGATTGTGTCAGCCTTCCGGACATCTCGAAGTGGTGTTGTTTTATCCCTACAAGTTTGTCTACTGATCAGATACCCTAACAAAGACAACTTATGGGCACACATAAAGCTGATTTTAAACATAAGATTGCAAATCTCTTATTGCCAAACGATGTAAAGTACTTACATCCAACTCCCAAATATCAAGCTCTCACTCAATTACAGAGAAGATCCATACCATCTAAGTAATGACTTCGCTTAAGACACTGCAATCTTTCTTCAATAATGCAGCATCACACTTCTTCCCTTCCACACCCTTTGGCAAGATATAGCAGAAAGGATATATACTACCAGACAGAAAACTCAGTTAACAAGAACAGAGTTGCTTAGTATCCCTTTCTGCTGCAGGTGCAAGATCTATCAATATAAACCCAAGGTTCAATTACCCGTGGGAGTCCATGCTGAATAACGGTTGCCATGTGTTGAACTGTCTTACCTCTCTTAAAAATCTCATTTTCGAATCTTTCTATTTTCAGTACAACCGCAGGCTCACGATCCTAAAAGGCGGATGAAATAGTAGAAATAACCTACCAATCCCCTTGCCAGACTGATACAAGAGAAAAGTCCTTTTACATTCTCAAAAGCTTGCAGCACCCTAAAAACCAGCTTCCTAGAAAATACAGAAAGATGATATCATGTGCCAGCTATTCCACCCAAACTCCAACCAATGTGAAGAAGGGGCTGGAGGGCAGGAATTTTTATATGTGTTTCTAGAGTGGGACTTTTAAGCTAAACATGAAGGTTATTCCATGATTGTCTTCTTACTAGGTCTCTCTTCCTCCCCTTCTCTTTTCTCTTTTGCTAAATCTGATGTTTTTACATAATCTAAGAAACTGCTATTTGAAGATTACATGCTTTGAAAAAAAAAAAAAAAAAGATCAATTTTAATAGGTTTATGAAGCATGCAAATTCAATCTCACAGCTAAAGTTCAAGCTCTAATCACGGTGAGAGATAAATCGAAGTCCAACTCCTTCAGTGATTCAAATGAATCCCATACGTGGCCGTGATCACAGAATATCAACGCTGATGGCAGTCAGCACGCGATCCATCACATTAACTGCAGAGTTCCTGTACCAGCTCATTGACCCCCAAAATATGTTGGCTTAATTATTACAAGGTTCATGTAACAGAGTGGATTTTTCTCTAATGCAACAATTTCTAGATTAAATCCCTGAAGAAAGCATTTCAAGGAAGGCACTTTGGATTGGGCACCTATGCTGCACGTACCACAACAGTCATCATCTCTTCTCTAATATAGGCAACCAATAACCCAGCCAGCTCAGAGCACACGAGGATGCTAGTGGGACACTATAAGGTCAATATAAATTTAGAACCTGATTACATATATGAAAGATATCGCATTATAAAGTCACAGAGTGATAGAAGGTGGTTTATTTTGCTAAAATGTGTAATTATAACAGTGAGCTAGATGCAGTCAGAAAATTCAGGATCTTGAGATGCTCCTTCTTAAGAAAACTATTTTAAACATAATGTCTTCCTAAACAGAATAATTTCACCAAAAAAAAGCTTAGATTTACACTTGAATTTCTCAAAAGCTTTCAAAAAAATTCTAAACACTGTAAACAACAAATTCAAGCTCCATTTGTCCAACCTACTGTAATGTGAAAAGTGTATGATGAACATCATGATTTTTCATTATTATTATTGTCTTTTTGAAGCCTGGTTTGCTTCCCACAGCCTCCCTACACTGCGGTAAGTATACCAATTAAACAGTTCATATTGAGTACACTTGAAAAGGAAGAATGGAAACTCAACTCAAAGATTCAAATACCCATCCTTGCAAACAAATTATAACAGAATTAAGTGAAAGGCCGTTGAAGGAAGCTACATAAGAAGCTTAGTTTAATTCCCTGCTGAAAATTAAAATGCTGAGATCTTAACAGTTAGCATTTAAAAACAGAGGCCAAAGCTTTAAAAGAAGCCAAAGTGTTATAGGTTTGGTGAGTTTTATTTGTGAAGTAACTGCAAAATCCAGAAAGACTGGAAGGAGCTGTGCTGTCAGGTTACTGCCAAAAAAAGAATCAATCTTATGCAGATTTTTACAGTAAGATGTGCACAGTCAATTTTAATTCCATTTGTCAGAAAAGAGAATTAGACAGAGTACAACAAAGGCAGCCAGGATAAGCACCTTTAGGAACTGCCAGAACCTCAGGTTGTGCTCCAGTTTTGAGAAGTCACACACCACGTACCTGAGCTCCAGAGCACAGAGGGTGCCTTCAAAGCCAAAACAAAAACCAGACCAGCACAGACACACACACTCATGTAAGTGAGCCCCACTCCCCTATAAAAAGAGCTCAGGAAAACAAATTGAAGGTATGGCTGGGAGACGATGGATCATATTCTCCCTGAAGACTGTGCACTACAATTGAATGGAAAACTGCTTCCCTCCCTTTCCCATCCTGACCAAGACTGTGAAGTTGAAACCCCTTCTTATGCTTCAAAGCAACTGAAATATTTTGTTTTCATCTCCGTGCAATCACTCTTCATACTTTCAATTTTCTTCATTTTCCTTTGTTAGAAACAGCTTACATTTCCAAGGATCTGCTTCCACAGGAAAATAAAAATGCAAAATAACATTTCCATTTTCCCCTTCCTTGCTTAAAGGGCAAATATATTCTTATACATCTAAGAGAAGAACATAAGATAAACTGATTGCAGAGCTTAGGAAACATTTGGAAAAAGTGACTGAATGCTTGCAGTTAGCACCTAGCCCCAAGCTCTACAGCCTAGAGTTAAATTCTTCCCAGTTTACGATAAAAGTAAATAAAAACAATTGTTTACTCTCCCTTTATCAAAAATGAAGTATTGTTGTGGGTCTTAATATTCTCTACCTGACCTTAGCTTGAAAGAGGCCTTTTTAATTCATCCTTTCCATGCTACCTGCTGGCAATGTTTCTATACAACATTATAGCTGTGGTAAAAGCAACTGTTCGAGGTGCCTGAAGCAGCAGAAGACACCAAGAACAGCAGCTCCTCTGTAGGATTCAAAGCATTAGAAGTTGATCAGCATTTACTGCTCAAATGTTGATCATAACCATTTGCTTAAGGTACCGCATGAACAGAACAAGAAGGAAGAACATCCCCTACTCTGGAGACCCACAGAACAATTCTCTGTGGCATAAGGGAAATAGAATAAGGTGTATTATTAAAATAACAGCATGTTTTTTAGATGCTTGCCACTTTATTTTTTGTAAACGAGTCATTGACAAAAGATTTTTAAAGACTTGAAATGTGGTTGCTCTAAAAAGAATAAACAAAAGAGGATTAAGAACACCTAAACATGTTGAAAAAAAAAAAAAAACCCTTAAACATATTACCCCTTCATAAGGCAGACTCTGGGCCACACGGTTACAAGCATTATCCTCTACCTTACTTGCAGGTCTGCTTTTTGCTTCATTAGCAGGAGGGAAGGCAGCATCTCTCAGCTGGTCTTAAAAGCAGAATGGAGAGCTTTGATTTCAAGAAAACTTGAATTGTAAGATTCCTTTTCCAAAGTTACATAACTTGCTTAATTTTAAATGGCTCTGCTCTTGGTAGAGATCCACATTTATTTCAGTACTGTTCAGTCGTCCCTTCTCCTCACTTGCAAACACAGACAGCTCAAAGCAGTACCTCTCTACTTTTGATAGCAGCTATTTGCCCCTGCCTCCCTTCTCTTTCCACTCATTTCAGCTTTGGCAACCCCCCTTCACAGGTAAATAGTTTCTCATAGTATGGGAAAGAAACTATATATTTCCATGAATGCACTCAAACTTCACAGCTATAAGCTGATGCTAGGTACAAAACAGAAGAACTAGAAGAACTATCAGGACTACATGTATTACATGAATTGTATGTGCACATATATCTAACCTTAGTAGGGCTGCATTTACCTGAGTGAAAAATATTTGGTAAGAGGAAGCTTCAAGCTAAGAATAGACCAGTTCACATGCATGGCTTACTCTTAGCCATCTTCAGCT